CAGACAAAATTTTCTTCATACTATAGAAATAGAAAGTGAGGAGAGAGGGATAATAGTTATATTTGTGTATCTCCCTATGTATCTATTTATTTGTCTTTATGCATGCATGTATGAACATATTTATCAACACTCATATTTTAATGTACATATATATATATATATATATTTTATATATATATATATATATATGTACATATATGTATATATATATTACTTTGAAGCTCCTATCATTCTATTCATGGTCATATGTTTATATTTTTGTTTATTTTTACTTGTTCATTTATTTTCTACCTCCTCTCCAACTTCTATTTCTCAATCCCAAGTAACCGTTTAATTAGCTTAAACAATAAACTTATAACTTCTGTTATAGACTACTTATTCAAACGTCTACCGAATTATATTCATGAAACATAGGTTCGATTATATATATATATATATATATATATATATATATATATATATATATATATATAAATTATGTTTGAACGAATAAAATTATGTAAAGAAAGTTAATATAAACCGAAATATGGCAGTCATTGCTAAAAAAGAAAGGTATGTTCCCAGTGAGTGTCAAAAAGTGAATATTTACTGTCATATGAGACTCCTTTAAAGTAGGGAAGATATTTAAATTAACTGAATTGTATACGAAAGGAAAATTGAAAGTTTATTCAAAATTTTGAATGTTACTCAAACTGAAGTAAAGCTGCATCAATTCATGGTCCTTTTTTATAGCATAAAAATATAAACAATTATTGTCTTTTTTATTTGACATTTATAATAAGTTGTTTATCCTGAAATTGTCCTACTTTTATGATGTATTTTTTTATGTGAAAAATTGTAATTGATAGTAAATTACTGGATTTCGACACCCTATTAAGTTGACTTGATACCTTATTTTAAAAGGTAGTTGTTTGGTATTCTTGCCTTCAGACTTAATTTCATTGCGCTCGTTTGTGAATTTCTTCATTGAACAGTTTTACAGTTACTTTACATGTCAAAGTTTGTTTTGCATACTACAATGAACTTGATCACCATACAAAACAATTTATTGAAAATAACGATTTTAGGAAGATAAGCTGTATTGCCATAATGCTGTGATACAACGAGATTACGAGCAAAGCCAGAGATATTACATACATTTTTATCTTCCTCATCTTTAACAGTAAGCACAAAAAGCAAACAATTATCTTTAACTACAAAATGTGAACAATGAATTTTAGTATTATTTGGAAATGCTTGTAACATACCCTAGTTAATACTGAGGCTTAAAGTAAATCCACTGCCAAACAGGTAAGAACGTGAGTCGTGACATCAACTGTTAGTCAGTGTCCAATAATAATATTAACTTGATTAATATGTCAGCAAATCTAGTGTACAATAAGGAAGGTTACTCACTATCTTACAATATCATCACGCTGCTTGAAAGCGAACAGATTTAAAATTAATGGGAAATTGTAATATTACATTTATGAGTAGATTATTTCAACTAAATTAACTATTTTTTATTTTTATTGAGATAATAAATGTGTAAGGAAATTTAATGAAATGATACAGAAAATATTAGGATTATGAGAAGTGAAGACTTAGGTATGTATAATAGTTGTGCACATTTTATTTGAGTACAAAAATTAAACTTTATCTCATTGATATTCATGTATACTATTGTTTTAAGTTGAAAATAGAAAATATTTAAAAGTTGTAAGCAGTGTTTTTGTTAATACAACCATAAAATCATTTAACTCGTTTTTTGGATCATTTAGATCTGTCATAAGTTCAAAGAAAGCTCTGATTCTCGTCATAGAATAAGAAAACTGATTTAAATAAGAACTCAAAATCATGATGAAAAGGAAGAATTATTAGTTTTTTTGATCATATAAATATTCTCATGTTATTTTCCCATACTTTCATTCATATTATTATTATTAGGAACACAGAATAAAAATTTACACACCATTAATAGCCAAAATTTTACTGCACTATGTTGAACATGGAATCAATCAAGTCTAAGGAAAATTAATTAACTAGAGTTAATCATAGTGATCAGTTAATGATTCCATAAAAGTTTGTAAATATTTTCTACATAAATACAACTAAAAAAAACTCAGATTACATAGAATTTATTTCATTTATGCTTAATTGAATGAAACATAAATGTAATGAAGTAATTGATCAGCTTTACAATTCGTTGTTCTAAAAAATGAATATAAAATGACTTGATGAATAATTTTTAACAGGTTGAGTATCTTTTTTTTCTCGCTAAGAAAGAAGGAAAAACTTCAATTTTTCTATTTTTATTTAAGAAAAAACCCTTTAATTTAAATTATTACTGTAATTCATTCATTTTACTTTTTTTTTCTTTTTTTCAAATAAGTAACAAATCAGTAATGAATGTACTATTAATTCAATGTATCTATTTTATTGTTTATTTTTCTTGTTGCTTTTATCCATTGATGTAAATTAGTAATTTTGTCATCTGTCAATGAGACTACCCACAATGAAATTAAAATAATTTAGTTTATTAATTCTGTTAATATTTTGTATATGAAAAGTATGTGCACATCTATTTATTATACATACATATATCATGATATACTATTTTCATTGACATCTATTTACATATAAATAGATAGTGATACTTCTATTACATTTTAGAAAATCCTTTTTTTGGATTTATTGAGCATTGTAACGATTTATATTAAACAAAAAGTTGAAAGAACTCACATGTTCAATGTAAATTATTTAATAGTATATATTTGCATTAAAACATGACTTATGCTGACTGATTTAGATGATATTTCGACACTTACACTTTTCAGACAGTATCTATGAAAAGGGAGTCTATTCAAATACAACATAAATATTCCTTTTTTTAGTATTATGTAAAAAAACGGTATAATTAGAGACAGTAATGAATAAATCCTTTTTTTACTGAGAAAGAGAAAATATGCGTAAATTTGAGGTACATTACTAAACATTTCTTTAAGTTTCTTTTCCGCAAGTGACTTTTAAATCATATACAGAATGATTAAAATGCATTGACTTACTATAGCCATTAAGAATATGAAAACTATGAAACGTTGAGTGTATATTAATATTTTCTTTCTTTAAACTTATTTCATTTAAGGTAAATAGAAGACTTTGTAAATTACGAAATACTATTTTCATCAACGTATTTATATAATACTACGTATAATATCAAAGGTTAATGAACAACTTGGTAATAAGAAATAGATAATAATAGTTAGAATTTTCACTAGTAAAATACACATTTCAGTAAACTCATCATTTTATTGATAGAGTGATCTTTTCATCACATGAAAAGCTTGATAATACAGTCTGATTTCTTGCATCTATTGACGACTAACTGACAAACTCTTATTTATCATATATAGTTATCTAAAACTCAACATATTGAGAGATATTAAACTTAAATTAAAATTCTAAATGATGAAATATTTCAATATAATCTTTGTTAAGTTATTACTAATTTTGTTAGTTTTTCAGCAAATTTTTCCATTTTCAACAATTCCTATTGATCAACTTTAATTTATTTGTTCTATGCAACAAAAACCACAAGATATATTTGAAAAATTTACCCTCTCTATGATAATCTTAAATATGTCAAGCGTGTAATTATAAAAGAAATGTGTTATAATTATAAATAATTTACACCTCTTCTTATTCTGATATTTTTCTTTTTTTACCTGTTAATACAATTTAAGATAGTCAAAATCAGATTTACTTTGATTATGCCCGCGGAATTTCTATGCTATTTAATACTAAGTCAATCAGTTTAACAGAATTTCGTTTCGTTGTTTGTTGTTACTTTGTGTTCTATTGAAACAAAAATGACAAAGCAGATAATAACAAGCGCTTGCGTTAATATATGTATATAAGTTTATGAAGGATTAATAATTCAATATAGTTAAAATTCTATCTTTTTTTCTAAATTGAGCTAAATTAGCAAACATATTTTTTCATCAAAGTTTGTTATATAACTAGTAAATGAAAACTTTCTTTAAAAAAATTCCTTGAAACTCTACTGTTCAGACAAAACAACTACAAAAATTAATTTTATGGAATATAATACTCCTCATGATGCATACAAAAACTGAATTATTTTTGTTTGAACATTTTTCTAAATTTACTGACTTAATATTACTAAATGAAACCATCAAATTTGTAAATACATGTTAAGAGAATGAGTAAAATGAAATAAACTAAATATAAAAATCATTTGATCAAAACTGAATGTCAAAATATTATTTTATTTGCAAGTGAACATTGTTTTCGTTGCTTTTACCTTTTAATGAAGAGGCTATACCAGTGTTCATTAGTTTACGTTGTTAATTTTTAATGATAGTAAGGGTTATCACAGAGTTCTATGTTATCTAGCCTTGACATTACCTATAAAATATTCATAAATACTTTTATAGGTAGTACCTTGGACTAAATCAATTAGTTGAAGGTTTAAACATTGCATTTTTATTTTAATTTTCGAAGTATCCCCAGTTTAAATAAAATTGTTTGTAGCTCAAAGGTCTAGTATATTGACCTGGAATTAGTAAACGAGTTAATTATTTATGTTTAGAGATATCACTCTACCTACTTTGATTTGTGTCGTCAGGCACTAGAAACAAATATTATGTAAAAAAAATCTAGCTCGAAGCCTTGTGTGCATTTGTGTACTTGGTAAATTATCCTTCATTGACATTACAATAACTGATTAATTTCATGAACACTAAGTAATGAGGCTTTTTATCATCGTTTTGATAAACACATTATCTATTTAGTTCTTGTTAATTAATTAATTGACCGTTAGGTGACTTTCGTGGTGCCTTATCACATAAAGCTTGTAGCTTTTCTGGATGTTTTATCAGGCCTTAGGAAAGATTTCAGGAGATTAAAAGCGATAATCATATTATACATGAAATTACGTTATATTTTAAATCAGTCACATGCTTACTGATATAATTTCTCTTTGAAAACTCATTTTGAAGATACCGGTTCAGAGGTACCCATTCCTAACGCTTTCAACTTGTCGAGTGGTGCATACTTTTGGCTATATAACTCCCAGTGCAAAGGTCCAAAGGCCTCTCCATTAATAAGCTTGACAAACACAATGATTTTGAATAATTCAGCTGAAGATGATCAATCAAGTTTGACAGAAAATTGCACTTCAAGTGTCTATCAAGATGATTTCGTGTCTTCTAGTGCTTCTTCTCGTGTTATTAATCCAGTAATACATTATCCTATATCCCCATTATCCTTGCCAGGATATCCATTTGTCGTTTTTGAAGATCCTGTTCAAAGAAGATATGATTTAGTTCATTGCTCGAAATTGCGTCGAGGTGACGGTAATGATGTGACTCCAAATTTAATGCGTTTGCGTTCTATGGGGGAAGAACTTGCTCATTTGAATAGAAATATCACAGCTCAAGGTGAGTTGATCGCTACAGGTGCAAGTTCGGTGCTTGATCAGCCAGATATGAATTTGGATTTTAAGGTGATTCAGGATCTTTCTGGGAGTATCTTCAATTCCAAAATAGTTGAACAGGCAAAACGCGAAAAAAACAAGTTGGCTAGCAAGTAAGTCTTATTATACTAGGTTTCAGGAGTTAAATATTTTAAATCAAACATATTCATTGCTTTGAGTGAAGTAACAGGCGTCCACTTCTTATCATTTAACTATAGACATCATGATCAATAAGTTGTCTATTTACTGCAGGTCGACATGAAAACATTCCCTGTTATTATACTCATTGAAAACACAGATCAAAAGAAAACATAAATAATTCAAAGAAAATATGTTTTTCGATTATTCACATCACGGATTGACCTTGATATATATTTTATCATTTGGTTGGACATTTTCAGTAATGTCAATTCATGTTCCCATTGGGGATCAAACTAAAACCCGTCAAGTCTTTCAGTGAGCATTTAAACTTTAGCATCCAATGGTTTGTACATTTAACCTCAATCAATTTGAGACATTACGCAGCCATCATCCAGTGTCCACGGTGACGAATTAATTCATACTTGACGTGGTTGAAATCCACTAGCCATGGGTATTCACTAGAACTTCCGTAATTACCTCATGAAACTAGTCGATATGAGTACACGATTCTTATCATTCTATAAAAGGTTTGTGAGGAATGTTAAGGTTTGGAGTTAACATGAACTGACCTTTGTTAGATATGTAAATCATTTGATGTCTGCTCAGTGGTCTAAAGGTTAAGTTCACACTGAAAGACGTGGAGGTTTTTAGTTCGATTCCCGATAGGATCATAGATGGACATTGTTGAAATTTCCATACTACGATAAATTATATATCCATTCTTTCCTGATTTTCAACAGTTGTTTGACTAAAATCAGTCCTTGATATGCACCATAAGAATTAGCAATCTTCACAAATCTACTATCCGGTGAGAAGATTTTTAATGCATTTACTTCAGCCAACTTGCTCATAGGTAAAATGGCTCAGAAATATAGAACTTCCTGTCAAAATGTATTAATTTCGCTGCCTAAAAGATTCAAAATTAATAAGTCACGCCGAAATAAATGACAACTATATTTATTGTAAAATGGAAAATTAAAGATATGATAATAAGATAGTGAATATGTCAGAGAAGATGAATAACTAACCTTTCGACTGTGATAGTAAACCTAAATCATGTAATTTGTGCTCATATCTTGGCAGTTGACTTGTTTCTTAGTAATTCATAACTACAATCAGTATTTTATTGACATTAATGTACATCACAAAGTGTTTACTTTTACAGTTTTTCAACGTCATTGCATTTTCGATAGATCCGAACGTCATTACAGACCGTACTTTCCATTAGTATTTAGGAATTCTGGTATTTTATTCTACGTTGATGTCTTGATTAGTGAGAATGTTATAGAGATAAAATCAGCGTTTTCGGTCAAAATTGTTTGAATGATTTAGATAATCTAACTACCGTTAGAGCCGTATGCAAGAGTCTGTGGTGTAAGAAAAAAAATCCCGGAACCTTTATGAAACTCCTATACTAGTAACATTCTTGTTTTGTTGTAGATATGGTTGGTCAAAAACGTGAAAAAATCATTTTAATGTAAAGGTAATCAAATGAATAGTTTTGGGGATAGACTCAGAAGTAACTCATGTATATTTGATGTCTGTTCTTACTTAGTAAAGGTATTTTCAATATAGGGATTACGTAATCAGTGAAGTGCTTTATGTAATAAAAATTGTATCCTTTAATAACTTAAACAATCGTTGGAAATTACGTTACCAGTGGCTAAGTGTTGATTATCTATTCTTAAATGTCTCTCATTGGACGTTTCCTATGTTCACAATTACGTAAAGAAATAGTTAATTCAACAGATCAGTGAACTATCCTTACAATCTTTAAGAATTCTGATTAGAGTAGATAATTTTATGGTATAGAAACTAAAGCATTGTGGTTAAAATCGTTGAAACAGAAATCATATTCAAAATCTGTTTTTAATCAAAGACTGTAAAATAATTATCGTTATTGTTTAGATGTGTCCGAAAAATCTTCAATTCTTTAAGGTGCTTGTAGAACGGTTGTGACAAGAACACAAGTGGGGACAACCAGAGTATCTCGATAAAATATAAGAACCATACACTGTATACTTTGTTTGCAAATATCCATCAGCTGTCCTTCACATTCTGTTGGATTCTTCAAGTTCATAACTTCTTTATATTTTCCCTTTCATTTTATTCAACTCGATCTTCTTGGCCTTCTGATGCCAGGTTTTCCACTTCCTATATGTGTTATATGCTACTTATGTCTGCCTGAAATTATCAGAGAGTATTCATCATTTTACGTAATAAATCAGATCAATGACATGTGGATATGAAATATGTTAATTTCTAGTGTCATCTCTGTAAATGAAAATTTAATGATTACATGCATACTATGAATCATAAGATTATAACTAAATTTCAAATTGATAGTTTTTAATATAATATTAAAATAAAGATATGTTGTTCAGGTGAATGCTTTCGATATAATATTGTATGGTTTGATACATATGTATTTAATACGCAGAATATTACATATATTGTGAAAATCACCTTTTTATGGATTTAATATATAGAAAAAACGGTCTTAAGTAATTTATCAATGCATCAAGTTAAAATAGAACAAAGATTAGTGCAGAATAATGTGAATTCATTTTGTTTCGTCAGGTTCTCATCAGCTGCTTACAACCTAGAATATTTGAAAATCAGAGTTCTTTCAGATATTGACATTGTCAATATTTAATTTGAACGGAAACATGCACACTTTTTCTGAGGAAACAGCAGTGATATCCAGTACGCGTTCCATTTCGTCCTATTTAAAACTCGTCAGCTGGATGTACCTGCATCCCAGAGTTCATGTTCACTTCACGACTCAAACCCAGTACCATTCGCATCAAACATAAATGGGAAGATTCAAATAAACAATACAAAATGAATTATAATTTCACTCTTATGAACAAGTAAGTGACCATCAGGACTCAGTAGCTAGGTGGATAACGCGATGATGATTGAAGTGGACGGTACTGGGTTCGAGTTTCGGTGTGAACATCAACTCTGGGATACAGGTAAGTCCATCTGACGAGTTCTTAATAGAAGGAAACGCTCGTCCTGGATTACATTGCTTGCCACTAACCATATTTGCATATAATGATTGTGTTAATTTATTTCGGTTATTTATTTACCTGACGAAGTGGCTTACATTAGGTCACGAAAAGTCGGAAATAAAATTTTCTACTCATTGCGATATAACAGAAAATATATTTATTATTAACTTTCTACCAGATGCTCAGTTTATTCAAAACTATCAAGTCCAACCTTGACACTGATATATATATCCTTTGTCAGTATATACAACATGTAACATAATCTATGTTTTATATAGTAGTAATTCACAGAAACTAATATACGCAACCAAAGTGTAATATATTCCTGTGAACTACAAATTAATTATTTCCAGATTACAAGTGTGAAGGTATTTCAGCATCATTTATCTATTTTTCCAAACTTTGGTGGATGGGCAGCAGATAATAATTTAAGCTAGTTTCCTTATTCAAACTCAAAATATCTCCTTTTCTATCAATTCTTGATTTCTTAATTGTTAGGTTCCCTTTCTTTATACATAATTATTTGTTATATTCTTCATAGTTTTTAGTATGAATTTGTCATCTGGATTTTAATGTTATTCTCATGTTATAATTGAAAGCTTTGAGTCTTATACAAGTGTGGAAGTTACTTGTTGAAAAGCTACTCCCACTAAGTATTTCAATATAAAATTCTACAAAATAAATTTCTATCAGTTAATTACTTTATACTGAATTTGTCTGATCAATCTGACTAATAGTATTAAGTATGCATTGTTTCCATCAATAAGGTCTTCAATAGTTTATTCGCAAAGATTTTATAAAAAACAATATCATGGGAAATTTTATAGCGATTATCTTTTTAAGCCATAAATGATATCACGGAAACTATCACGTTGATAATTTGGTCGTTGTAAATTATTGTCTTATTTGATTATTATTACAAAGAATTTTGTATTCATTTTTCTATTGATAATTCAATGACCATCTTATTTGTCTTTATCTTTATCTACATTTATTCATTGAAATCATGACTCACGAATTCGATAATAATCTTTTGACTGGAATATATTTATTGTTTTACTCCTTTCACCATTCATGTAATTTAGTATCATTTTGTTAGAGTTCCCTTAGTACGTATATATATATATATATATATTTGTGTGCCCATTGACGAACTGTTCGTTTACAAATAAACTCAATGATGAAAGAACAATATAATGGCACTAATCTTAGAGTAATCTAATTAGAACTTTGTGTGAAAGAAACGAGTATTGAGATATTCATCAGGAAAATAAATAATGCTAATCTCTTCGGAGATTCTATTACGTAATTTGTCGAAATTCGATCACATTCACGCTAATTGTGTTTTCTTCAATTTATATAGTAGTTCCTATTGTCTTATAACACGTAGTCATATGGAGTATAACAGTGAATTTATTGGTTGACTGAAAAATGAATATGTAACAATACTGTTTCATTATAAAATTTATTTATTTTAATTAACAAAACATTTAATAAGAAAGATTTACTTTTTTTGCTGATTTGTGTTGTCTTTTAATATCAATTTATTCATTAGATTTCAAACAGTTATTTGCTGGTCACAGTTTGTATATTTATTCGGCCACATGATACATTTCTTTACTATAACGATAACTTTTTGGTTGACAGTGGATTATGAAATGGTCAGTTGCAATAGAATAATCAGTATTACAATGTTATTAGTTGATGTAGTCGCGCTTACTACTTTGCAATGTGCTTCAAAAAATACTTCACTATGGTTCAAAATGTCAATAATGCTTAGTAATTATTAGCTTTGCTTTCACAAAAATTACGAGGGGGTTGTAAACGACAGAGGCAGTAATTGGTTGAAAACCATGAAAGTCACTGATGGTTCAATTTCAGTCAAGTAATAATTGTCAGAGTTAACTGGAAATCACTAGATTTCATGTTAGGATTTCTACTGCTGGCTTTCGGACGTGAAGTTTATGTTACATTACAATCACTCAGTTATCCACTATTTACAAGAAGCATTGTGCCTTCATTTACAACAAAGCACATCATATCTGAATATTCTCACTACTATAGGCCACAGATTTTTGACGAACTCAAAGAATAAAGGGGAAGAATCTAATAATACGGCAATTTTTCTGATGACTTTTGATTTTTCATAGAATTATCAGGGTGTGCAGTAAACATGAAGTGGGTTAAGTAAGCATTAAGTAAGTATTAAGTTGAGGCGTTAACGACATCATTAACAAACAAAATTTATCATATTTTCATTGACAAAAATAGATAATACCAAAGTTGTTTATAAAGGTTTTGATAAGTTGAAGGCTACTAACTGTTGTCTTTTTTCACAAAAAGTGTAATCAAGCTCATATCAACGAAATACAGAATTCTGCAGTATAAAATATACATGTACATAAATTTCTTCACATCAACATTTTTCAAAAGCGATGTACTTATGTTATACTTTTATCATTTCATTAAATTAAAGCTATCAACATCGTGAAATGTTGATAAGTTAGTTAAATTCTGGTAGTCCTGTATTCTGTGAGACAGATGGCTCGATCAAAAGTATTCATTTGGACTTCTTATCATCACCTTTATGATTGAAAATTATCATCATGACAAAATATAACTTACTAATAACGTTTCAATGTATTGGCATTCAACAAATTATTATGAATAAAAATGACAAACTTCTGTATAATTTAATTAAATAACCTAAAAAGTAAAAACAATAATCTTTATCATATATCAGTGGGATTAGATATAATCAAACCATGAGATGGTAGTTTAAAATTTCCCAATAGTTATATCTAATTTTTCTTAATAAACCATTTCTACTGTAGACGAATCGATGAAATACTCATTTACATTACATACTACCTGTATGTGCATAAATATTTTATTAAAATAAATGAGTGGTTATCATTTTTCTTTATGAAAGATTAATATTCTTACTAAACGGATCGCAAGAGATTTCAACCTCTTACTCCTCCCAAGTTACCCTTAAACGTATCGAGTTATTGTGCGTTGTAAATGGACGACTCAGAACTCTAGACCCAGGTTTCGTGCTATTTTAAACTGTTCAGCATGATATTAGTAAAGACTTGATGGAACTGATGCTCCCTGATAAATTTGACTTCGTATCGTTCAGTTCCACCGTCAGAGATATCACAATAAATCTATTTGGGCCACGACTAACCTCTTGCAGCACTGATACATTTGCAAGTGATTGGTTAATGATTAGTGACCACTGTTACGTTTACCTCGTATCTTTATTGATAAAGTTATGAATATCTCAATCCTACAGGACATTACAGCATGATCAATAGAACTTGATCTGCAAAAAGGATTAGACATGCATGACATTGGTCAGTACTCAGTAATCAGTAAGTAGTATATCCTCAAACGTGATAAAAAAAACTCATATTTAACCAAAAATTTCATTATTTAATGTAATCTCTTATTTCAGTTGAAACATAAATTTTTAATACACTACTGAAAAATCAACTTTTAGTACACAACACTAATGTAATCTCTTATTTCAGTTGAAACATAAATTTTTAATACACTACTGAAAAATCAACTTTTAGTACACAACACTAATTTAACATATCGTTTGATACTTTAACTATTTAATTACGTCTATTCATAAGTACAGATTTCTTAGGGTTACGACAAACAAATAATAAGACATAGAAAACACCAAGTTCGAATAAGCTTTCTCTTATGGGAAATGTATTTAAATGTCCTAAAAGAATCAAAGCTATGAATGACAATTCAATTATAGATGTGATAAGAGTATTAGGCTAAAAAGTAACGCATGAATTTGTACTTTTCCTTTATAAAAAAATTGAATTCATGAATGAATATTTTGAATAAATTAGACCCTAACTTAAAAACTTTTCCGAGATGGTTTATTCTAATAATAAAAGTAAACTGTTCAAGAACTGTTTGGGACTGGCAAAACTGCATAGTATAAAATGTCTTGAGCTATCTGTAGTAAAATATATTCATATAAGTCATGAAAAATATAAATTTTTGTGATTGAAGATTATTTATTTGATACCACTTATTGTTAAAATCACAATTTACATAAGGTTCACAAAGCGTTCTGTAAATTGGATTTTTAAGTGTATGTATTTCTTTTCAGAATTTGTCGTCTTAAAAAGAAAGCGTTTCACGAAGCCAATAAAATTAAATATCTTGGATTGGAGATTGAGTACAGTAAGTTGAATACTAACCTAATTATTATTCTTTATTTTATATTTCTTTCTTCTACTAAACAAAATAAAATTCGGTCATAATAAAAATGTTGCTTTTATATCGTCTAATAGATATTGACAACCTTGACTGTTTAGAAAATGGATTTGCAGCTATCGTCTATAGGTAAAAAGAAATTTACTGTAGACAATCATTTTTGAAGTTTTATGGATTTAATAATGCAATTGTACTAAATCATGACTTTTAAATTTCACTTCATTTTACTTTACTGTTGATAAACAGGTTTGAAATCACTGTACGAGATGATTTTTTAACAAAATAAGTGCAATCTTTTTTATCAAGTTAACAACAAATCTTGGATTTTTAGAATACTGAATTAAGAATTATATTAACACAAAATAAAATATTAAAGAAACGAAATTTAGACAACTAAATGTTGGTAGATGTGTTTTGTCAAAGATTGAGAGCAATTGAGGCATTGTTGTAAATCAAGGAACATGGAACAAATGTTTAATCTGAATATAGAGTTTCTCATCTGTGCTCACTTGTAACACAAAAAAATTTGAGATAAAACCTGTGTAACACTTTTACAAGACAGAACCATGAAGGTTTAAATACCGTTCTATGTTGCATATCGTTGTTTATGAACCACGACAGTGAATGGAAATTGTTTCCAAAAGATCAGTTAGTATAAGTGAAAATATACGCACGTTCGAATCTCCTAACCTATATAATAAGCCTCTCAAATAATCATGACAGATGTTCAGAAATCCACTGTTAAACGTTGTTGATATAATGTACACTTTAACTATTGCCACGACAGCAGTTGAACTGGTACTTAACCTTAAATCCACTAGTCGATCCTTACTTTGAGAATTGTTTGTAAATATTCCCGTTTAGTATTTGAGCATATATCACTTAGGCGGTGAACATGTTACAGATAGTTGAGGGATAAAATATAATACTTAATTAGTTAATTTTTAATTTACAACTGTTATGTAGAAGAGAATTTAAACAATCATAATGCTTTGGCATCTATAAATTGCACTATAAAAATTCATTTGTTGATGACAAATGTATTTTCGGATTCATTTGATAACCTCACTTTATGATGAAATGCATATGAGTTATTTCAAAACATAACACAGCTGGTTGATGTTCTTGATTTAAGTTATTTAAGCTACTTGATGACTTACAGGCGAAGTGATAGGAAATAAATAACTGATTAAGCCACTGAAAAGTACATTTAAAATCAACTTCTATCATAACTTGGAAGACTTTCATTGTTTATCTAAACCCATTATCGATGCATCATATATACTGAGTAGTTTTTAAATTTCAATTGCAAGATTCTATTTTTATTACAGTTGAGTAATTAGCAAATTAACATCAATACATCCATTGAGAAACATTATAATGATTATGTATACGTAGGAACTAATGGCGATTTCGGATTACTGATATTTTGAGACATCTAAGATATAAACACAATATTTAAAAAGAGAAAATCTTTTCGTTATATTTTGAAGTGTATACTATAATCGGATCGACTGCTTAACTCATTTACAAAAGCATTTCTTAATTCACTTGAAAAAAATTAATTTTATTGTTAATTTGCATATGATTTTCTGTTATTTTATTTTGATACCATCACCACAAATATACTTTTACGTAGACCAAAATGTTTACTGATACGTACTGATTAAGAAAAAATTAGTAGCTTTTTCCATGAAAAAATTGTTTTGCCCTAAGATTAG